ATAAACAAAATGTGGTATATACATACAATAGAATATTCTTCAGCCTTCAAAAAGGAGGAAATTTCTGCACATGCTGCAACATGGATTAACATTGAGGACATTATGCTACATAAAATAAGCCAGTCACAAAAAGACAAAAAATACCATAGGAGTTTTCTTATATGAGGTACCTAGAGTAGTCAAAGTCATAGAGACGGAAAGTAGAATGGTGGTTGCCAGGGGCTAGGGGAAGGAGGGAATGGGGAGTTATTGTTTAATGGGTACAGAGTTGCAGTTTTGCAGGATGAAAAGAGTTCTCGAGATGGATGGTGGTGGTGGTCGCACAACAATGTGAATGGACTTAATGCCACTGAACTGTACGCTTAAAGATGGTTAAGATGGTAGATTTTGTTATGAGTATTTTACCACAATAAAAAAAGAAAAAAAACAAAACCCAGTAGGCTTATGAATTTTTCCTATAGGTTGTTGACCACATTTCCCAGTGCTCCATGGGATTAGCAGACGAAAAACTGGGAACTGCTGAGTGCCCGTGGGTTCCCCGTCGGCCGCACTGTCCCCTGAGAGCTCGGCTTCCCGCTTGCGGTGGCTGTGATGGCGCCGGGCTCCGGTCAGAGCCGTCTCTGCACTTCTTTGTGCTCATTGTGTAGTCTTGCTGTCATCATCCCTTATGTGCAACGGAATTCACTTTCTAAATGTGTACCCACTCCTGTTTCTGCTGTGGGAAAGTGCGTAACTGACTCGTCAAGGGCCCTTCCGTTCATGCTTTAGAGTCTGCAGTCTTGACAGGTCGTTTCCCTCTTTGTGAGTGGTTGGCATTCTTCTCTCTTGCCTTATAATTATTCGTTTTCTTCTTAGCACTTTCTTGAAGTGGTTGCATGGAGTGTTGAGATCCCTTTTAAGCTTCTGATATTCCTCCCGTTTATTTTGAGTGATGACAAATGAAACAGCCAGGCTTTCTGGGAATGGTGTTATATGAGTAACGCACCTCGGCTTTCCCTCCAGCGGGGATTCCTGGGCAGCTTTCGGAGATGTGCTGTTCGTGATTTTCCATCGTGGTCGTGTTTCCTTGAGGGCTTCACATATCCTTCTCAGGTAGTAGAAAGGGAGATAGACTTTATTGCCGACACCGTTTCTAAATATAAATTTCTAATTTAAACGGGCTGTTAGAACTTCCCTTGCAAAGGTCACTTGTGCAAGTAGAGCTTTGGGTCACTCTGTAAGTGATCCCGCTTCACTTACTTTGCAAGGACAGGGCCGTGTGAAGGTCATATTCAGAAAATAGCATCCTCTGCAGTGGCCCATGGATTATGTAAGACCAGGAGATCTTTGGTGTCGGATGCCAAAGAGCTCGGGACTGCCAGCTTCTCCCTTCCTTAGGACTAGTTCTTGTGAACCGTCTGCCTTCAAGTTTCTTAGAACGTTACTGTCTGTTTACTGTCTTCAGATTGGTCTTGTTTGCAAAAGAAAAAAAGAGCCAAGGTTGTTGTCTCATTGATTTTGACAAAAGAAGCTAATGAAGGAGGGGAATTGTTGGTGTATCTCGACTCTTTGGATTTCCAGTAGACTCTCCATATCTAGGTTGTCAGTGGGAGAGAAATGCGGTCCTTCCTGCCTTCCTTTGCCTGGACATTCTGTGTGGGGATGTAAAGGCTTGGTTTTAAGTTAGTGTAATATGACAGCTTACCTGGTGACCATGCATAGGCTTCAGGGGTCAACCGCCCTGAAATTTTCTGCAAAATCTGTATGTACATTTTTCTGGAGAAAGGATTCTGTAGTCTCTGTTAGGTTCTCAGAGAGACCCAAGCCCCAAAGCTGTAAGGACCCTTCTGAAATGCTCAGAATACTGCATTGCGGCTGGCACAGTCCCCTGAATGGAGCTGTCACCCTGCGAAAGTAGTACCTTTTGAGTATTTCAGGTGGCCCCTAGAGTGAAATTCCTGGTCAGAAAGAAGTGAGCAGAAGGGCAGGGGGAGCACTGTAGACCCTGTGGTAAGTACCGAAATGGTGAAGGATTGACTCCATTTTATTTTGGAAAAATGCACCCTTCTCAAATGCTTGTTGATTCCCATGATCCTGGGCAAGAGAGTGAAGAGCATAGATTCTGGAGCCAGACTTCCTGGGTTCAAATCCCCGCTCTGCCATTTAGTGGTTGTGTGTCCTTCAGCAGATTAGGTAATTTCTGTGTGCCTCCAGTATCCCCATATATAACATGGGGATATCATGGTATTTGCTTCATAAGGTTGTTGTAAGGATTAAATGAGATGATATAAGGTGCTTATGATAGCATGTAGTACATGGTAAGTGCTTAATAAATATTAACTCTTATAGTGGAGTCAGGAGGTTGTCCTTAGTAACATAAAGAGTAATAAAATACGGACAGTTGGATTTTAGTAGTAAGACATCGTTTGATTTTTGGGTGCATGCGTTGGTTATTTTGTATCTATCTCCAAAAAGTCACCTCTTTTCAGCATTTGCCTACTTTATGAGCTGTTTCAAGTAAATTTTGGTGCACAAACATCATAAAAGGTGAAAGAATACTGTCACATATCCTTTTAATAAAATAGGGTGGTCTGTTCTTGTCACAAAATGTTAGACGATGAGATTCTTCTTATTAAATGGCTCACTGGATGAGAATATCGCATTTCCTTTTTGTCTTTAGAAATGTATTGTGCAGTCTTTGATCCTAGATTTCCTCTAGGATATGGTGAGTGAAGATTCAGTTTGAGATTTTGCTCATGTGATCAATTTATCCATTATCATTAGAGCCTAGAGAGCTGCTCTCGGTCTCTTTGTGTTCATCTTCTGACTCATCTAATAATTGTGAAATGTCCTGCTCTGTCAGTTTTATTTCTTTTGCTCTTATGGATGGAAAATGAAAAATTATGAATGAGATGATATTCATTCATTTAGCTTTCCATGAAAGCTAAAAAAAATGACTGCAAAGATGGTATCTTCAGACCTCTTTTCTACCTTCTTGAAGACTATGTAATACTTTGGGCAGTGCAATGAGGAACCTGAAGGATGATGTCGTGCTGATGATTTATTTCACATTGCACCATCTTAGACGATCTTCTGTCAGTCTCCTGCTTTCTTAATTTAGTCTTTTTAAAAAATCATAGGTGGGAATAGTTGATGAGTAATGATGAAATAATTCCTACAATGATAAAATAGCAAAATGTTTCAAGATGTCAGAAAAATAAGATCACTAATATCTCATATTGCATTTTAGATTTTTAAAAGGGTCCAGTGGACTCCTGGAAACTGTAAGGTAGAATGAGTTTTTGGAAGACCTCCAAGAAAGAATGAAAGTCATGAAACAGCAATCCTTCCAAATAGGTAGAAGTGCTCAAAAAAGAAACTCAAAACTGACATTGGATCCAGGGGACCCTGATGGTATGCTGGGGGTTGATCACACTTTTAACAAACCATCTGAAATAAATAATCTGAAAGGCAAAGATTAACATATGAAGATGCTCATTATAGTCTTATTTTTTTAAAATAGGAAAAAACCTGAATGTATAACATAGAGTAATAGGTTGATTATGGTACAGTAATATACCAAAATCTTATGTACTGGTTTAAAGTTATATTCTCAGAAAGTCTGTAATGATGGGAGAATACAATCATGATAGAATATTAAATTTAGAAAGCACAGTACAGGGCCGGCCCTGTGGCTTGGTGGTTAAGTGCGCGCGCTGCGATGCTGGCGGCCCGGGTTCGGATCCCGGGTGCGCATCGAGGCACCACTTCTCT